TAGTATTAAGTTTCGCTCACAATAACTTTTAATTAATAAAAAACATTTATTATAACTCTTTTAATTTGATTTAGATTGAGATTTTTATTTCATATCTTTATAACTTTTCTCTTTATTATATAGATTTTTATCTTTTTTTTAATTATATAAATCTTTGTTTTTCTTTTATATCTTCAAATATTCCTCTTTATTAATAATTTAATCTAAATATAAATCTAAGCTTATAATCTGTTTTAAACATAGCTCTTTATAAAAGAAAAATACAAAAAAAAATAGTATTAGAAAAACTAATATATTGAGTATATTCTATAATTGCTAAGAAAAAGAGTTTTATATAGAACAAAACTTTTACTAATATTAATTCGGGCTAGCTCCCCCTATTTTACAATTATATGAATAATATCTTTTAACAATTATATTCTAAATTATCTTCGTCTTCTCGATTATTTCTATTTCTATTACTACTGTTTTCATTATAATCTTTCTATAAAAAACTATTTCCTTTATTTCTATTATTTCTTTCTATATGTTTATTTAAATAGTTATTATTATTAAGTAGATTATTAAATAATTAACTATCTCTTCTTTATAATAATAAAATGAGTTATAACAATAAAGGGTTAATTTATTATTATAATTGATTTTATTATTATAAAGAAGAGATAGATCAGTTGAATTTATTATTCTTTTATAAAAAGTTGATATTAACTTAATAAATAAATTTAAAGTAATAAGATATTAATGATTCTAATAATACTTTTTATTCAATATCAATACTCTTTTCCTCATTACCTAAATACTTAAATCCCGAAATTATTATAATTTAGAATAAAATATTTGATAATTATAATAATCTATATTAAGTAAAATTTAATAGTTCAAACTAATTATTCATTTAAGATATCCTAAATTCTTTTAATAATATATATATAGAAACTTGAATATCTTTTTTATTTATTCTTTTTTATATATTCTTTAATTGAAATATAAGTTCCTTATTCATGAATATATTTATAATTTTTTTATTTAATTATTCTTTATATAATAATTGAATTGTATTAACTAAAGTATTATAAACAAATTGTATTATATATATTTTATATTTTATATTTCATAATAAATAAGTTATATAAGTATAATTTATATTTGAGTTTATATAAAAGATATGTATATGAATTATTTAAAAACGTTCTGAAATAAAGCTTTTAAATATATCAAAGTAGTTTAATTATAATTTATTATTGTAATAATTCGATTATTGATATTTGTATCATTTGTCTTTACAGAAATCTTTAATCATTTTTATATTTACTTTTTTTATAAACTCAATAAGACTTTTTTATTATCTTTAATTATTATATTAAAATTATTAGATATAATAATTAATAACATAATCGATTTAATTGTATTTTCAATATTATTATTATGCCTGGGATTATTCTTTATAGAGATGTTTTTATATAATCCTATTATATTGATAAATAGTAGGTAAATAATAAAATAGAATGTTTAGATATAATTTTATTCAAACTTAGTAAAATTATCTTTATTTATAGAAAGTGATATTTAGTTTGAGTTAGTAGTTATTGATTTATATTTTTCAATATATATTATTTTAAAGAATAAAATATAAATTAAGGAAAGTTTTAAAAAATTACTAAAAAGTAAAAAAATACAAGTGAAATAAGTAAGTTATATATGATTAGTTTATTTTATTACATTAAATATAATCTTTTTCTAATTAATTATATAATATTTAAATTATAAAATAAATTAAAAAAATATTAATATTAGAAAAAATCGAGAAGTCGAAAAATGAAAATGAGATAATTAATCTATATAGCCGACGGTATAATAGGGTTACTGAATATAAGAACTCTAAATTAGATCTTTCTTAATGATTTAAGATAATAGAAAACAAAATGAATTATTTCTAAATCTATCAAGCTAGCTTAATACTAGTCGTTGGCGAAAAAGAATTTTTCAGACTCCGGATTCGTAGAATTTCTTTTTTCTTATCAATTATTATGATAACTTTGGAACCCTACGAATTTGTAGACTTTAAATTCTTTTTCTATAACGGCTAGTACTAATATAATATATAAATATAAATAATACTAATAATACTAATAATACTAATAATACTAATAATACTAATAATACTAATAATACTAATAATACTAATAATACTAATAATACTAATAATACTAATAATACTAATAATACTAATAATACTAATAATACTAATAATACTAATAATACTAATAATACTAATAATACTAATAATACTAATAATACTAATAATACTAATAATACTAATAATACTAATAATACTAATAATACTAATAATACTAACCCTAAGCTCAGAGTTGAGTTAGAGTTAAAAATATGCATACGCTTATAGGTTTCCTAAATAATAAATTATAAAATAATGAAAACTAGTACAGATGTATAAATAAGGGAATTCACTTCAAAGGATTCTCTTCAATACAATAACAACTGTATTAAAGATATTTAGGCGAAAGCGAAGGAGACTAGTTCTTTCAATAATGCTTATATAAGGCCTACTATTTCCCTCATTAGCTAGCTCCTTAGATTGAATACAAATAGACATTTAGGGGCCTACACATAATGGGAACTACATCTTCCGTATCTCTCTCTCAAACCAACAACAGATCCCTCAAATTAAGAGATAATTCAATTCTAATTTCAGATTTGAATTCTTTACAAAACATCAAATTTAATTATATATTAATATTTATAGAAATTATAAAAAGAAAGCTTTTTATAAGCCTATTGAAAACGCATATCCCATTATATATATTCGACCGGAAAGCAGGGCGCATCTAGGGTATTAGGGTTGTTTTCTCATATAAAAAACGTTCGAGCTTGTGTATTCCATCGGAATGTACGCCTCGTATAAGAGGTACCTAGGCTATATACTAATAAATTGAAGTAGTTTTATAAGTTTTTCCTCTTTTATTCGACCGGAATAATTCTACTCTAGTGTCGGTAATAACTTATAACCTATCAGAAGAGGTTTTATAAATTTGTAAATATGAAAATAATCTAATTATAGAGATATATATTATATATAGAGTATATAATCACTTACTTTGCTTCTACAAATCCATAATAGTCAGAAACCCTAGATATTATTTAATATTGGTAAAATCGTTAATACTAGTTAATCGGATATTAGCCTCAAATAAGTATAGAAATGAAGTAGTATTTGAAGTCAAGGTCCGTTCAAGCTTCGACATATCAGTTATATCTGGCTTCCTCTACAAAACTGAGATACAGCCTAGACCAGCCACTCAATAATAATTATAGTAAGTTTGAGCTGTACAGGATTGATATTTACGGACTAGTCACTCGTGACATATAATTCGACAGATTTTCCACCGAGATTACAGCGTTCAACTTCGCTTAGTTAATTCCGAGCGAAGCCGGATTTTCTTAACACGTATACACTATACGTAGTTTCTAAGTAAAAACGACAAATATAATATTATTTATACAATCGCCTGTGATTTGATCGTAAACAAGACACTTCTAACTGGAGTTCTAAGCCTGATGTAGGAGTACAGTTAACTGCTCCTCATTACTCGGTATTGTTTTAAATAAATGCCGACCTCAAATCTAGCCGGATTTCTTACTCAAAACTATACTTATTTACTATTCTCAAAATTCAGTATTAAAAGAAGGAATATAATTAGATACTTCGAATATTGAAGATATATAGAATATCAATAAATAAATTTGATATCAAAATTTTAGAGTTTTTAAAATCAAATCGAAAAACTTTTGATATAATAAAATCTCTTTCAAATAATACTTTTTTGGGATTCGCCTTAAACATTTAAAGTCTAAAAATAAGCGAATTTTCATTTCTATACTTTTAATATTTTGATTTTCGAAATAATTCGATAAACATATTGAAATGTTCTAATTTGAAAATAGATTTTTAAAATTCAATCAAATATTTATATATACACATAAAAGTTCAAATCTTAATTTTTTATAGTTGAAATAATATTGAATTTTCAAATAAATAACTTTTGATTAGTTTTAATGTGATATATACTAACTAAAATGAGGTCGGCATTTATTTAAAATAATACAGAGTAGATTGTAAATAACATATTTCTAGCTAGCCTTCTCAAGTTCTCAATCATATCCGGAAAGAATCTGGAATCTGAAATTTACATTTTTATTATATAGTATATCGAAAAGAAGAAATCTATAGCAAATATTTACTCTTTATCTGATAGGATATCGATCATGTAATCAGATACATCGCGCTGTATTAACTAGCGAGGCGCTAGCACCTACTATTATATGTATATAGGTTTCTATAGTTTATAATGATCAAGAACGATTATAATTATAATAGACTAAAGTGCTTTATACTTATTAATTATCTTAATATCAACAATTACACTGAAATATATCTGAATACTTAAGATATTATCTAAAGTCCATTCGGAGTCTATCCGAAGTATTCCAGAACACTAATATTAAGTATTTTAAAATTGATAAATAATAAATAAAAGAGATGTCTTTGAGTAGTAAGCTTTTTTAAGATGGCTCAAATGACTCAAAAGAGAAGTAATCAGAGAGTGGAGTACTCGGCGAAAGTAAGTTAGCGTTAGTGCTTACTCGTATTGAGTCCGAGTACGAGACTCCGAGTACGAGGTCGAGAATGAACAAGTCCCCTGCAACCGATTCGAAAAATGCAAGTCTAAAGGACTCCAGATGATGCGTCGTGCAAGTGTATGGCTGCGGGGTCATCGGAGAATGTCATATCACTTCCAAGAAGCTTCGGTCCTCCAGTTTCCACTTGTTATATGAGACCACTAACTACAGTATTGTTGGAGCGCTCATGACAGATGCGGAGTTATTGCATAATACCCACATCTCTAAATTTCTAATATTTCATAGTTATAAGCAAACTTTCCCAAAAAAAACAAATTCTGAGACAAATAAACATTGTCTTAATGTTTCTTCAATTCGCTATGTTCTCTTCATTTAAGCTTCTCTTCACGTGCCTCGTCACTCTAAAGACAATCGCTGCACACCCTGCTATTGATCGACATAGTAACGATGAAAATAACAGAGGCACGTTTCATAATCCTGCTAACCATGTTAGACCAAAGTTCAGATACTGGTATAATGGAATCACTGATGAAACTTGAAAGAGAAGCTTACAACAAATAGGCTTCCGGATGCAAGCATAGATCCCGCTGGTATCGCTGCTGACATCAAGGACATTGGTTCCATTGGAGCTGGAGGCATTGAACTGTGCAACTATTACCTGGTAAGCTAAGTCGCAACACCAGATTGGCCAGAACCTTGCTGCTAACTTCAGACAGTACGGTGGACAAATTGGGAAACCGGCAAGTGATTGGAGCACTTACGGTTTCGGCACACCAGCTTACAACAAGGTTCTGAATGCTGCTGCTCAAGCAACAAAAGACAATGGTTTGGTTATCGATCTCGCGCTGGGACCGGAGTCTGGACAAGGAGTGCCAGCGGAATGGAACAACCGTTAGTCAACACTATGTTCGAGTTTCTTTGATTGCTTGCTGATACCGTTTATCAACAGCCGGACTCGCGTATGATCTTGTATGTTACATTACCTGCCAATCCTTGGCACAACACTAAAGCGTGGCAGATATCGCACAACATCAAGGTATCTGCAGGTGATAAATACGAAGGTAAGATCCCGGGCTACGGCAACGGAACATTGCTTTCAGTCACGACCGCTGCTATTCTTCAGTCAGAAAACTACAGCACACCCAATTTAGCGGCAGGCTTGATTCCTAATGAATTCATAAACTGGACCGTTTGGAATATCTCTGGAGACAGCCTAAGCGACGTAACCAGTGGAGTGCGTCCTGACGGTACGATCTCCCTTGAATTCCCGCAACACCAGACTGCAAAGGAATACTTTCTATGGGCATCTTATTTCAGGCTCTCTTCAGACCGGGCAGCTATACCCGGCTCTAATCCACAAAATTTTCTCCAAAATGGATCATTCGCCGTCGATCATTTTTCAACCCGTGGAGCCAAGGTAACGACAGACTTTCTGGAGAAGTACGTCCTAATAAACGGTGTGAAGGAGCTTTTTCAGCAGGTTGGAAAGTATAGTACGTTCAATGAAGCTCTTCTCAATCAGATTTATCCTGATCTTTACATTGTAGTATGGGAGGATAGCGTGGAGATAAAAAGCCGTCTCTATTGGACTCCAATTCTGGCCAACACGTTCAGAGAAATGCACGGATACGACATAGGAAAATATGCAATGCTTCTGGCAAATGATAATGGCCTAGGCTTTTCGACAGAATATCCAGACAGAGTGTACACGGATGCTCCAGATCGTGGTCAAGGCTATTTGTCCGACTATAGAGCTACAATGACAGCTTTGCTTTCGCTCTATTATGAACACCTTGTTAATTGGTCAAGGCGATATTTAGGACTGTAGTTCTCGGCGCAGACGGGATATAACCTCCCTGTGGATATGGTAAGTGCTAAGCTTTGCCTTTTATTGATTGCACTGTATTTTTAATTATTTATTAATATTACATCTAGCTTGAAGTCATTCCAGTCGTGAGCACACCCGAAGATGAGTCGCTCGCCTTCGGATCCTCCATTGGTAGGTTGAAATAACAAGAAGCATATTTTGGCTAATTTTTTATATAGACAACTACAGGCAGTTCGTTGGGCCTGCAAATTTAGCAGGTAAAAACATTGTTTCAAACGAAATGGGAGCAATATCTCGTTCGGCTTACCAGCAGCAACTTCCAGACTTATTGACCTTGGTCAAGCAAGCTTACAGCGCTGGAAATAACCAGATGGTAATACATGGTGCAACATACTCATATCAGTACCCAAACACTATTGTTCGTCTTGGAGTAACCGCCTTTTTGATATAAGTGCTAACATTATTCCTCGCAGTGGCCAGGCTTTGCACCATTTGGCTATTTGTTTTCAGAACCACACTCACGCCACCAGCCCGGTTGGACCTATGGATATTCCGATATTCTTGATTTTATTTCCAGAAACAACTTCATTCTTCAAAGTGGGGCTCCAAAAAGGGATGTGGTATTCTGGAGTAAGAAAACTCGTGAAGGGGAAATCATCACCCCTGTATACAATTACAATGATCTTGTCAATGCTGGTGGGTATTCATATTTCCTGGTCATTTTCACGTGAAGAAAGGTCATTCACAGTAAACACAAGCTTACTCTTGCAGGATACGGTTATGAATACCTTTCTCCGGGTAACTTCAAGCTTCCTCAGGCGATAGTTCGAGATCGTGTTCTCGCACCTGATGGCCCAGCATACAAGCTATTGATTGTGCTTTCAACCGAGGTTCTTACAACAGATGGTGTCGAAAGTCTTGCAAAATACGCAGCACAAGGCTTACCCATTGTGATTTCTGGCGGGATACCGAACCAAATTGCATCTTCTAAGGGTCTATCAGATGCACAACAAAAATTAAAATCGCTTGCAGCTCTTTCAAACGTTCACTTGGTTGCAGGCGGACCGCTGGCTTCTGTTATTTCCTCGCTCGGTATTCAGCCGCTCACGAAAGTGACTGCGGACCAACCATGGTACACGTACTGGCGCGAAGTCAACAAAGGTCAAGAAGCGTACGTTTATATTTACAATGATGGCAACTTTACCTCAACAGGTAAGGTCGAATTTGCAAACACCAATGTACCATAATTTCTTGATGCATGGAAGGGTGATCAAAGGCCAGTCCTTGAATACGATTTGGGAAAGAATTCCACAACCATTCCACTCACTCTCGCAGCGCATCAATCTATCATTCTCGGTTTTCTGCGCGCCGAAGAGAAATCAGAACGACGTTTATATGTAACTTCTGGACCTTCCCCATCGCTCGAATATGTGTACGGCAAATCTGGCAACCTTGTCGCCAAAGTGCCTTTCTCCAGCAGCGATCTCGTAATCAAGAATTCCAATGGCAGAACAATCTGCATATCAGCCAATGAAGTTGCCAAGTCATTTGCTCTACATAACTGGACACTTGTGGCTGAAAAATGGGGTCCCCCCAGCAACTTCGACGACGCTTCGGCTACTTCCTCGAAAGTCAACGCTACCTATAAGCTTCCGTCTCTTCTCTCCTGGCCTCTCATTCCTGGCCTACAAAATACTTCTGGTGTAGGGTATTACAGCAACGAGTTCACATGGTCTGACACTCGTGTGGGTGCATTCATTGACTTTGGCCGCGTTGTACATACTTTGCGTGTTAGTGTCAACGGTAATCAACTGCCACCACTAGATGTTACACACGCAAAAGCGGATATTTCCCCTTATTTGGTGAAGGGAAAAAATGTAATTAACGCTACCGTTTCAACAACGTTGATAAACGGCCTTCGTCCATATTTGGAAAGACTTAAGACAAGTGGGACTGGACCTCAAATTGGCACCCTGACTTTTGCAAATGTTGAGGTTGAAACGGGGTTGTTGGGAGAGGTAGTGATTACACCTTATGAACGCAAGGATGTACGGCCGTAATTGTGTTTTATGATTTTTATTAGAAACAGATTCGTTGAATTTACGATAAATACTAGAAGTAGCACTTGTTTGTATATTGATACCTAAAATAGTACTTTTTAAACGAATTCAAACTGAATTAGTACTTTTTATACTAAGATATCTTTCTAATAAGTATATGACTATCTAGTGATTTCTAAATTGGAAAAAAGAGATAAATTCATTAGTTTAGAATTAAAAATTTAAACGAAATAGCTTTCAAAAATTTCTTTTAAAAATTAGAGTTACTACTAATCATGATAACATTCTAGCTAGCTATTACTTATTCATCTGTAGATAAAATATCATTATATTTAATTTTATTATTAATTTTCAAAATAAATCTCGGACATCAACTAAAATAAATAAGTATATAACTCTAGTATATTATAATGAAAAGAATAGTTTGCTTGATTGTAAACTAGTTTGGAGATTAATATATAGAAAAGTACTATTATAACTTATAGTAAACCAGGTTACTTGAGGAACTGGATTACAAAATTCAGTTTTCTTTGTATAATCTCAATTTCTTATCTATACTTTTATACTTATTTTGGAATATAAACTTCACCCAATACAAAAACACCACTGCTATTCAACGTACTCCATACTATCGTAGTCCATCTCCATCTGGGCTGCCATCATGCTTTATTAGTTGCCTTCAGCATCTTTAGTGTTGTATTTTCATCTAGTATTTGAAGTTACCGTTTTATAAGAAGTCAGTGTTAATACAATTTCCATCCCAGTTCAGCTACTTTACCCCCGGCAAGCCATCCCCGACTCATCAACTTCAAAATCTCCCGCAGTGTTCTTAATTTTCGTAACATTGATTCTGGTTCAACTTCTGATTGTATTCTAGAAGTCAAAATAGCTGCAGCCTTATAAATCAGATGCAAGACGAATGGTGACATAGTTTGAAGATCAACAATGACATGGTTTTGGTCAAGTCCATTGAAAAGCTGCAAGATATCATCTATTAAAGTCGCGAAACCAATTGTTGATTCGATGGGACAGCGGCTTGCTATGCTATCATAAATTGAACTCGCCCAAGTCCCGTGGGGGCTGTGAAACATCAGCATGCTGCGCTTGGTGTCATAGTGGTGCTTATCCGAAAAGAAATATTACAGTACCGATGCATTTAGTAAGGTGAGATTAGTTTGGTATGAAAATTTGCATTTGATTGGTTCGACGTATGGTAAAGTCAAGGAACAGGATCCAGCCGGGGGCTTCACCCTTGCCATGTCCGTTCTGGGAATAGAATCGCCGGCGCCGTGATAGGCTCCCTTACCACAAATGCATCCCAATATTCTCATATTCCGTTAGTATGCCTTTGCAAGCGCAATACAGCTAAACCTCAAGTCGCCGCCGCCAGCTTCTTCTTCCATCCTGATCACTTTACCTATACCCTTTGCGATCCCATTCTCGCTCAACACATCCTCGTCGTCGGCTAACAAGCCTCGATCGAGCGGCCCTTTTCTGCTGCCTTCCAACTCCCACAAATGACCATCGTCCCCTTTCACAAACGCCACGAAATGCTGTCCCAATCTTTCCCCCTCTGAAGCACTGGGTGCAGCCGTGTCACCCATTTCTGCAACACTCTGATGCGCATCCTCGAACTCTTTGTCATCATACAGTACCTTCGCCCGTTCTTCCGTCTTTAGTGGAAGAGCCTGATCCCGCAGTCGAGACAACGTCGTACCTGGTAAAATGAACTCTTTCGTAGGCCCGTTGATAAGACAGTGAAGAAGCCCGATAGAACCGCAGGCGTGTCCAATCGTTTGCTTGAACCAGATCACGGGCTCGTCCCGGCCAAAGCCCTTGTAGACAGGTAATGGGCTGTCCTCAATTAGACGAGATGTGTTCCAGGAAGGAGTGAGCGGGAAGATGACCAGGAGAGCATGGACTGGACGGGGGATCATGGACCAAAGACCTGGGTCAGTAAGAGAGTAGACATCGTAGAATGCGAGATCGGGGGAAAGACCAAGCTTCTTAGCTAGCGCATTCATGACCTCGGGATTGTTCTCTACCATGGAGCAGAATAAGCATGTGAGCTTTGTGATTTGTAAGATGCAATTCAATCCTACCTAGAACCGTGAACGTCTTCTTGCCATTGTGGAAGGTGGCAGGTATAGGCATGATGGTAGTGACAAAGTAGAATTCAGATGTGAGGGATCGAAAGTGGATCTGTTCAATCGAAAGTAGATTACTGAATCGTCTTTGTTTTCACCATCATACTGCGAAACGGCACATACTTTGTCTGCAGAGAATCGTCATCTTGATGCCTAATGGCAGTCACGAAGACACGCACGGGCATTGTTTTGCTCCACCTCCGTTGCGGGGATTACTAAGCAGCCCAGAAAAAAGCTGCTGCGCGCGCCCTGCACTTCAGTAATAATAAGGGCCTGTTCGGATCGTTTTTTTAATTTATTAACAAAATACTTTGTTGACTAATAATTTAGTCTAAATTACATGGATTTCTAAAATGTAGAGTAACGAATGTTAATAAATATTATCAAATACTAATTAAAGTTATATTACAGATTTAATAAGGCTCGACAAAACCACTATATAAATTTTGAAAATTTATAAATTTATATTTTATAGTTTTTTATAGATCAATATAAGCATTCGATAAATTACTTTTTTTCAATTTTATTATCAATATAGATTATTAAATAATATTCGCATTCGGTATATACTTATTTATACTTATATTATTAATAAATATAGATCTATATTGTTAGAGTAGATAATAGCAATAAATCAACTAGGTATAATGTAGCACAAAGACTTTTCATTAATTCTTCTAAACTATAAAAATTCTACAATTTATAATTATACGCGGATTGGTATTGGCCCGAAATAGCCCCGCAGGGACTACTCATATACCCTCACCAACCCTTATACAGATTGACCGTAATAGAGCTCCTTATATTACATATTACATCCCAAAATATATATATTTACTTCTCAAACTTGATTTGTATAATATAAAAAAATGAAATATTAAATAATTGTATTCGGACTGTATTTCAAAAGAAAATAAGAATACTATAAAACTACAAACAATCAATAAATAATATTCTAATGTGTTCATTACTTTTATTAATAGATTATTAAAGGTTTTATAAGTTCTCTTTAATTCTCTAAATTCTTTTCCCTTTTAATAAATTATTCCTTATTATTCCTTTACTTATTCTTATCTTATTATAACTATTCCTTAATCTATTAACCCCTAAATAATTGTAATTTAATTTATAGCAAATTCTACTAAATTGATTATTTCTATATACCTTTATTATTTTAAGTATATTATATCCTCTGCCCTCAAAGATTTCTATTATTATAACAAAAATCCTTATACTAAATATAATTATTACTATATTCAAAAAAAGATTTACTAATTAATACCTTCCCAATACATTCCCAACATCAATTTACTATATCAAATCTAAACTTTTTAATAAATTATTTTTGTTAATAATCAAAAAGAAGAAAATACTAAAATTATAATAATATATCAAAACAAGTACTATATTAAGAATATAGAGACCTTTTTATAAAAGAAGAATAAACAGAATAATACTAAAAAACTAAAATTATTTGAAATATTATTTCTATTTATCATAAAGAAATTGGATTAAATAAATGATTTCATAAAACGCTTTATGGATTTATATCAAACTATTATTAATTACCCTTTGTTTTCTCATAATAGTATTTAACTGATTTTTTGGATTCTAAAATAATTTATTTGTATTGAATATTATTATTCTAGATTTTGTTATAAGATTAATAGTTATAGTAAATTCGGATAATAAAGGCGATTTTATAGTTCCGATTGTTTATCTCTATATTATTAATATTCTCATCCCACCCCCTATTCTTCCAGAAGGTAAGACTCCGGGTATTATAAATATACTAGCTGGTTTGAAAAATTGTAAATCCCCTTATACCAATATTTAATTATTATTTTGCTCTCATTCCTGTATTTGTTTCTCTATACCCAAAAAAGATTGTTTTAAATATAATATTCTAATAAATTTCTTTCTGATTTTAGTAACGATAAAAAGAATAACCCTTTTCTTTATTAAATTACTAGTACCCTTTAATATTCTAATATTTCTCGTATTTCTAAAAGTGATATTAGTATTATTATTTTTCAGGTGAAAAAGTATATTATTAGAGATTTGATAATTTCTATTTATTAATCTATTATTAGAATTTTAGTTATTTAAACTATCCTTTTTTCTTGTAAAGCTTTTTATATAGTTTCGAAATAAAAGATAGTATTGGTTATTGCTAATTTCTTTTTTAATTCTTAATATTAGGATATTAATGTTTTGTTAAAAGCTAAGGCTCTTTGTATGAGTTATTCTGTTTACATTAAAGAATTTGATATTATTATAAGTTTTTTTGAAAATATTCGATTTTATAAATATTTGTGGATTGTTAATAATTAGTTAATAGAGATTCGAATATTCAGTAAGGTTTTTATAAAAATAGAGAAAAAGGAAAGTAGGAATAAGAATAAAGTGAGTATACTTTCAGCAAATAAAAATAAGCGAAGTAATAGTAATATAGATAATACTATTTTTAGAGTTTTTCTTTTTATGCCAAATCTTTTTGATATATAGAATAAAAGGATTAATTTTACTATAGAATCCTTTTAATATACTAATATAGCAATATCTCTATAACAATATCCTTATATTAATTAAAGATATATTTTTGCTAGAAATAAAGCTTTATAAAAAGAATAGTAATAATTTCATTAGCTGAATATTAATAAAGATTTAGATAATATTAATCCTGATATTTATAAATTGAAGTCTGAAGTATTCTAGAGATATTAGAATGAATTGATATACTTAGTAATAGTATATAATATATTAGTAAATAAAGAATTATGTTCTTGTTTTTGTTAGAGTAGGAAAAAGTAGAAAAAGGAATATTGCAAATAGCTTTGTATTGCCAGTGATTTGCTTATAGATATATAGCAAAACCCTATTGTTTTATAGCTTTTCTTTTTTTTTCTTTTAAATTATATATTGATAATTCCCTTTTTTTATTATATTCTTTTAATACTTTTTTTGTATTATTGAGATTATAAAGGGCTTTTTATATATCTTCTGTAAATTGATAGTTTTTCCATCAAATTAGATATTAAATATCTTTATTTCTTTTTCTATATACTATAATCTTTTTTATTTTATATTCTAAATAATTGTTTATTTCTTCTAATAATAATAGGTTAGTAGTACCCTATCGTTTATATTATAATTCTAATAAGAAAATATAAAAGATATTATAAATCTTATAGATAAATAGTAGTTTAAGTTTATATACTTAACTATCGGTTTTTATATTTATTATTTAAAAAGAGCCTATAAATCTATTCAAAAACTTCTTTTTGGATTAAAGTTACTTAATATTTCGGGTGTTTAATATTATTTTGTCTCCAATATTATATTACTAGAATATTGTACCCTTTATATTCCTTAATTTTCGGTTTATAACTATTTATCATAGTTTTTTTAATTTTTCTTTTTCTTTATTAAGGGAAGCGATTCGCTTATATACAGCTAATGCCCTTTCTATAACATCAGTATTTTTATTAATATAATAGAATAGAATATTGATAGAAATCTATATATCGTTTGGAATAGACTTATATTTATTATATTATACTATGTAGTATTATAAATAAACTCTGCAAATAGTAGTAATGAAGTTTAATTGTTTTATTGATAATTAAAATAATAATTAATATAATAAATCAAATTCTAATTTTATTGCTTTATTTACCTGTTAATTTAAAAATGGAATATAGTAGATAACTTGTATTATATTTGCAGATAAAAAAGGAAACTATTCTAGAATTTGCTTGTAAACTATAATCCCCTATTTAATACAATACCTTTTAATATCCTAAAATCTTTAAATATATTCTATATCAATATTTAAGTGAGTTTTGATGAAATAATTGTTTTATTAATGGGTATATATCAAGCAAACTTTGTAAATCTATTAATAATTACTAAAATTATATTATATATATACTTATTTAGTTTGAATAAAAATAGATCTATAATAAAATCTATAATTATCTTTTTCCAAAATCCATAGAAAATAAAAAAGATTTATAATTTGCTATAGAGCTTATACCTTTTAATAATAATATACTAACATATTATATATGTTTTAATATATATTTTTATATCCTTTTTTATTGAAAACTAAAAGTATTTAGATTTTAAGATTTCTAAAGTTTTAGAGATATTTCAATATTCATTTATAGAGTTATTATAATAAGCTTCTAAGATCTCTATTTTTAAAGCAAAATCTAATAATATATAAATATTTCTATTATATCTAAAAAACTTATCGATATTTATTTATTAAGATAAGGCAATTCTAGTAAAATATAGTTTTTGATTTAGATATTCTTTATTCTTTATAAAATCATTATTTACTTAAAAATATAATAAAGCATTTCTCATTATCTTTAATATTGATTTAAATACTATTTCATCTTTTATCAAAATATAAACTATTTAATATAATATCAACTATTTACAATCAATTTTAATTAATAAATACTTGAGTTTACAAAATAATAGATTATACTTTTTTCTTTATAAAAGATCTATAATATTATATAAAAACTCTGTTTTTTTAATAAGGAAACTTTGAAATAGATTTATAATTATTAATCTATTTTTTAATTTATTCTAAAGGATTAAAAACATATTATTTATATTATTTATATCAATAGTGTAATTAGAATAGTATAATAATCTATTTACAGAATTCAATCTTCCAGCCCTATATACTATTTCGAAATTATATACAATTAAAACCTCTATTTACCTTACTTATTAACTATTCAGACTTTTTTTTATTATAAAATACTAGAGATTATTGTAATCCAATTTAATTATAATAGTATATCAACTTTCTATTATATAATAATATTATTATATAAAAGCAATATATATTACTAATAATTCTTGATTATAAATGAAATATTATTACTTTATTGAATTTAGCTTTTTTAAATAAAATATAATAGAATACTATTGTTGAATTAATATTTCTTTAATTCCTTTCGAGAAGAGCTATAATAATATATAATCTAAAGTAAAGATTGAAGTATTGATTTTGATTATTATATAAAATAAAAAATAAAAATACTAGAGAATAAATATTAATATAAAGGCTTTTTTTAATATTTCAAATACCTTTTATACTTCATTAATTCATTTAAATTCGATTATTATCTTCCCTTTTTTTATTCCTTTTATCAATACAATTATGCTATAAGCCATTACTAAATAGATTTTAATAAATTATTAATAAAAGTTCGTAAAACCAAAAAATATCTATACATCTTTAAGACTATTAGATATTAGCCATTCTATTATAATTTGAATATAGCCCGATTTTATAGTAATATCTATAAATAAAACAATATATTCCAGAAATTCCATTTTATTAATATAAAAAACATACTTCTTTAGTTTTATATAAAGCTTATATTCAATAAATCGTATAAGGATTTTTCGGATATTTATTGTATATAGCTCTATCTTTTAAATAAATCAAAATATTATTAAGATATATTATATAAATGCTATTCGTCAAGCTGGATAAAGTTTGATTAATATATATTTGAAATGTTATAGGGGTATTAATAAAACTGAAAGATATTACCCTATATTCGTATTGGTTATACTGTATATGAAATATAGTTTTTTATTTATTTTTTATTTTTATATAAATTCGATAATAAGTATCTCGTAAATCTAACTTAATAAATATAATATCTTATTGAAATTAATTTAGGAATTTATTAATAAAAAATAAAGGGATTTAATTTTTTCTGATAATCCAATTAAACTTTTAATAGTCAATATATAGTTAATAGTCTCCTTCTTTTTTTAGAATGAATATAATAAATGTTTTTATTAAATTAATAGATCTTCTTATTTATTTATTTTTTTAATATTTATTTAAATATTCTTATAATATTATTAATTCTTTTTTTAATAAAAAATAAATCAGATTTTAAAAAGAAATCAAATCAGATTTGAGATTAATATAATACTTTATTGGATGGTATTTAAATAAAAGGCTATTTTTGTTTTTTGAGAAAGTCTTTTTATATTTCTGGAATTCTTCTAATATTTTATATAAGATTAATACGAATATTAGATAACCCCCTTTTATTTTTGATTATAAAATCGTTTTATTTAAAAAAATTATAAAAACTATTTTGCTTTTCTTTATTTCCCAATAAAATTCTTTTATAAAAATAATCTCAAGATTATTTAAAATAAAATGATATTGAAATAATATTGATTTTTAATTAATATCAAGATTGATTATTTATAACTATAAAAAATCTAGAATAATATTTATCTGTAATAGATTCAGTATTACTAATATAAAACTATAAATATAGATTTTCTTTTCCCCTTTTTCATTTTTTATTTTGATAGGAAATTTATAATTCCTGTATAATATAATTATGATATTATTTGTTAATATAAGAGAAATACTTTTCTTAATAAAGATTTAATCCCATTCAATATATTTACTTTACTATATAATATTGACTTATATTCCCAAATCAATAAAATATCAAAATACTATCAGTTTACTATTATTATTAAAGATCGCCATAATTATAAAGATTATCCGCCCTTTTTTATATAAACCCAGTATTAATAGAATATTTATTATAATTGCTAGATCTAGATATTTCCCATATAAATAGCTTTAAAGAGGTTATTTTGATATTCAGATTCTTTATACCTTCCTTTATAATATTTATATACAAAGTCATTCTAATAATTTATAATAATATACCCCTTCTATTAGCATTTATAGTATATAGTGATTCGTATATGCTTTGTATACAATATATTAATAGGGTATTTTAGCATCTTGAAGAATTCCTTTTAAAAGGATTAATTGGATTCTTGAATCTCTATTTTAATAATTAAGATTAGATTGTTTTCTAAATAAAAGTATTTAAGGATATTTTGATATTGAAAAAATAATTGATTATACTTACAAAATCAATATAAATTCTTTATATTTCTTTCTTAGAATAATTTCTTTATATTTTTTAATTTATAGATTTATTTTATAAGCTTATTACATGATTTAGATTATTATAAAGATTCTGATATTTTCCTAATTATACTGGGTAATAAATCTATTAAAAACCTTTTAACCCGAATACTCTTTACCTTCTACTTGATATTCTCCTCAAGATCTTTTAAATAAGTTATAAATATATTTATAGTTTTTCCTTCTTTTTATTTTATATATATAATCTTTTAAATTACTTATCACTATTTAATCCCTTTATTTATAATAATATTATACATATACTCCCTAAAATTTTCCCAATTTATTTCTTTATAACTTGATTTACTTATATATCAATACCAAATCACTAAAGACTATTATTCAAAATATTAAATAATATATTCTATTTTTTTAATATTAATAAGAAAATAATATTCATTATTACTTCAAAATATAATTTCTGCCTAAAAAAAGAAATTCTTAGTTTCTTCGATATTTTTTCCTTTATATTATTTCAATCTCTATAATTTTAGTAATTTTCCTTAATCAAGATTAATACCCTAATAGATTATATTCAGTATAGCTATAGATTGATTATACTCGATCGAGATAGTTATATATAAAATATAATCTATAGCTACCCTATAAACCTTTCTTATAATTATCATTTCTTCTTTTATTTCTTTAAATTATTAGATTAATAATATATTCTTATTATTATTAGAGGAGTGTAATTAGGCCGAGTAGGTATTGCTGTCGATATTCTATAAGAATTAATTGATAATTTTACTGGATTGATCTTAAATTATATTATAAGTATTCTGTTTTTCTTTTAAAATAGATATTCTTCTTATTGAAATCATAATAATATCGATAATTACTTAACTAAGAAATAGTTAACGGATTACTTTATATATAGAATAAAAAGAATTATTAGAATAGATAATAGCAATAAATCAATTAGATATAATGTAATACAAAGATTTTTCATTAATTCTTTTAAATTATAAAAATTCTATAATTTATAATTGTGTATAGGTTGATATTAGCCCGAAGTAGCCCTGTAGGGGCTATTTATATACTTTCGCCAGCCCTTACACGAATTGACCGTGATATATATTACCTAAAAAATCGATCCGAACGGGCCCTAAGTCGAGTACTCTATTTTCTGGCCAGTATTGAATTATTCTTTATTATAAAAAATCTCAAAAAACTTTCTTCTTTATAAATAGAATTTATTAAAAATCTATATATATATAATTCAGATTGTTTTAAACTTATTCTGAAGTTTTTAGGTTTTTAGGATTTTTCTAAAATGAAATCTAAAACTTCAAAATATCGATTCTTTAATTTATATAAAAATCATATACAAATTTAAAACTTTTATAAAATCTTTAATTTAACGATAATTATTGAAAGAAAACTATATATTCTTTGAAAAGTTTTGAACTTTAATTTATATAGAAATTTATAACATAATTAAAAAAAATTACTAAATATAGAGATATAATATATAATAAATTTAGAATAATAAAAATAATCTCTATCATTTCAAAATTATTCTTCTAAATATTTGTTTAAAAGAAATTTTCTATTGGTTTTAAATCTTTTAAAATAAATATACTATAAGTTTGTAATAAATTTAAGAATTTGTTTTTAGCAATTTTTACTAAAAACATTATTAAAGATTTTATAAAAGTTTCAAATTTGTATATAATTCTTATATAAATTTAAAAATCAATATTTTAACACTCAGAAATCGATTTAGAAAAATCCTAAAAATCTAAAATTTTCAAAGTAAACTAAAAATAATCTAAATTGTATATATAAATTTTCAATAAATTTAATTTATAAATAAGAGAGTTAAAAATATCATTTTTAGAATTAAAAGGTAGTCTAAAAGAGGAATGACTAGAAAGCGAGATACTCAACTTAGCTTTACCCCGTCGTCATATTAAAAGTATAAGTTTATACGACTGTTTGAGTATAATAACAAGAATAGCGTTGTAAATGCTTAATAATATAAATCTATAAATCTATTATTCTTCTCGTTGAGGATAATCTGTGAAAACGTTACTATATTTCTATACGATTTCCCACGCCGCTAGTTTTTATTATATTATTATTCTTGAACTTTAAGTTATAAAGTAGTATGTTTTCATCTGGTATTAATAGACATTTGAGTTTAATTAAATTAATCTCGTTGCTTGAAAATTGAGCTATAATAAACATTCGAGGCGAGTTAGCTCGCTAGTATTTCGGAGAACCTAATTTTCGATATCTAATAAGCCTTTAATATCGAAAGGTTGAAAGTAAAGCTTATTCTTTGTTTTTATTTTATTTTCTTCTAATTCTTTATATAATTGAATTTATCATAAAAGATATTATATAACTATATATAAATTGAATTCCTGAGCATAGAAAATATAGTTAATATACATTATATAAAGATTCCGTAAATTCTAACGTATAAGTTTCTTTTGCTACTCTTAAAGGTTAGCTTTTATAATAATAAGAAACCATTATTATGATAGTAGTAGAATATCGAGTTAATTAAAGCTTAGGAACGAATCGAATATATAATATAAGAATTAAATGAAAGTCAATTTATAAGAGCGATACTGAATTGAGGTGAAATTGCTTACTTTTTTCTAGATTTTCTTTAAAGAATGTTCTAGGTTTATATAGTTTATAATAAAATTCTAGTAGTTTTTATACTTACAAATAAGATCTATTTAAATTATGTTTTATAGAATTATAGTATATATTGAAAAGAGAGTATATCAATCAATTTAGTTTATTTTATTATTAATTTTCTATATAATTCTATATTATTCTACTCTACTATAAATCAATTTGATAAAAGATATTTTTAATAATTATATAATAATATAAAGTTATTATATAATTATATTATAATATGATAATATAAAATTATGATATAAAACTATAATATAAAACTCTAATATAAAATTATAATATACATATATTATTTATCAAAATATCTTTCAATTAGTAAGATACTAATAAGTAATTTAATAGATTTATTATAGAATTTCACAGCTACGCTTCGAAACAAATCAAAGAACGTCTCCGGGACATCGTCTAGACCTAACTTCTGTACTACAACACCGGGGAAAGCTTCATACTTGACTTTTATTGGCTCTATATCAACGTCGCCGAGTGTCATAACGGTATAAGTTTGGTACCGACGAAGGGATGAACCACTTTCAAGAACTTTGTGAAGATTGTCGGAAATCATTGGTTTTGTATTTAAAATCTCACAGAAATTAAATCCAGGACGTTTGTGAACAATAAGATCGAGAAGAGAATTATCAGTCAAGTTGGAGATCATCTTATCGACATCTGGCTTCCAAACAGTGCGAAGGTATGGGTGACGATCTATCGTTCTAAGGTCATCAAGTGCTTCCGAGTATTGATTGCATGATAATTCTTCAATTTCAAACAATGGCTTGCCTTCAGGTGAGGAAAGCTGACACCATCCGCTCATGGCACGTAGACTGAAAATTTCTGCATGTGCAAGGACCTTGCCTTTTCCAGGGGTCAATTGAGAGATTTGATCATCATCGCCCCAGAACCATAAGGAGACATTGGCCATGGACGTTGGAACAAATGATCTTTTTAAGCCGGCTAAGGAGACTTTGTGTGCTACAATCAGTACAACTTGAATACAGGTGTCCATCGCTGCGGGGTGTACGATACATGCTGAATCATGCTCGGAGACGCCTTCAGGACAGAGCTCAGTGTCCGCAACGGTTTCTTCCAGAGCTGGATTGGTACGAATATTACTTAACCTTTTGCAAACCACGGTACCAAGTTCGAGCAGCTTTTGGTTCCTGTAGTTTACTTCATCGAATCTTGGAGCCATGGCAACAGCCTTCTTCTTTGTGACAGTTCCAATACAATGATTCGTCCAATTGCCAGCTTGAATAGACGATATTGTGAACTCCGCAATCGTTTTGGACGTAATCGAAGCATTTATAGTGGCGATATTCCATTGTGGTAACAATCTCCACTTGGGATCCAGAAGGTGGGATGTTTAATGCAGATGTGATACTAATATTGGGAAGGAAATATCGGAAAGCCCCATTGATCGTCAGCTTGTCGTGGAAAAATTGACGAGCAGCCTCGGTTGCAATTGCTAAGTAGCCAGTTCCGGGCAGCACAGGTTGCGGTCCAAGTTGATGCTCCTCTAACCACGGGAAATTTTTAGAGACATGCATATTCCTCCAATGTTGTTCTTCCACTGAGGATCCTGGAAGAATGGCACCCAATAAATCATCGTATTTAAATTTCCGTAAGCGATGTTCTTCGCTTGGTCTATTTTTGTTCCTTATCTCACCGCCAGAGTAGTTCCATGAGAACCTAAGAAGATCAACAATCGGCAAGCCACTTTTGTAATTAAGGCGTCACCCTCTTATTTTTCAATGGCGTTGACGCGCTCGATATTCACCGTAGATCCTCTCATAGTAAGAGTTCCAGCAGGATCCAGAAGACGAGTCACAGAGCTCTGTCCACGTACTACGAGGGCGTGTTTTTGATGAGGGCCCGGATTGAATTTAAGCGAATTTCCTCACCAAAAGTATACTTTATTCCCTACTTTTATAAATAAAATATAATTCAAATTTTTATTATATAATTTTGAAATCTAGCATGTATTTAAAGATTTAATGTATATTTATTTTAATATCAATTTTATTAAGTTTAATGAGATATTGATTAATAAATCTTATATAGAATTTCAATTTTTAAAATAAGTATTATTTTATATAATAATTTTGAATCCTAATAATTCTATATAGAATTTAATTAGATTGAAAAATATTATAAAAAGTATGAAATCAAATCCTAAAATTTTATATTTAAAATCTATTTATATATAAAGTTTCAAATATATAATAATATTAATTAAATTTAATATTCAATTCTAAAGTAAATGATTTTTGGTGTGAAAAGTGCTTGCGTACAAACCCAGGCCCTCATCAAAAACACGCCCTCGTAAGGTGGAAGCATAATCTAAGTCTTTTGGTGGTATCCCGAGGTTATCTCTATTCTGCGTCGGAGGACCAGCTAGATCAGAGTGAGGGCCAATTTCAACGAATTGTGAAATTCCAAGATCTGCTGCCAATGCAGCTTCAACCGCTTCAGTGAGTCGTACTGGAGACTCCAAATTTTGAAGCCAAAATCTAGGTCCTGGTTTGAAATTGGATGGCATTTGCTGAGCAGTTACTGAAGAGAAAAATACTGGGTTCTGCGCTTGAGCTGGATTGGTGGTTCGAGATACGCCGAACTTGGAAAGTGCTTCTGACAAGCAATTTTCGTATTTATTGCCGATATTCAGCATGTGGTGTGAGTGATAGGCTCTACCACCAGTCTTCAGCTCACGAACGAATACCCTGTCAGATTCTGACTTCTTCTGTACTATGGTAGCAGGCTCAACGTCACCACTCAACGTAACACTATTAGGTGAATCCCTGTGGTAGCAGAATCCGTAGTTAACAAAATAATAATTTTGTCAAGTATTAGAAAAGCTTTAATCTTTAATATTGAATTGAAAAAATAAATCGTAAAATGTTAATATAATTAATTTTATATACATATATAATAAGAAAATCTTATTTGAAAAGGATTTAAAGAAATTTTCGAAATTTCTTAATTTTCAAAAGTTTTAGTTTAAGGTTATTTACAAGTGAAAAAGTTTTTTATATTGAATTCGATTAATAATCAATTATTAATTATAACTATATAAATTAAAGTTGATTGATATTCTTATTTAAACTGTATATTCTCTATTATATAGTATAGTAATAAAGCTTCTGATTAAAAAATAAATTAAAAGTAAGTAGTAAGATATAAAGTGGAACCCTTTTCCTTTTAAACTTTTGACTAATATCTTTTTCAAGTTTTTAGTTTTTATACTTGCTTCCCTCTTTCTTTAGTTTTTTTACTCATTTCCCTCTTTAATTTCTATACTCACTCTCTTTCTCCTCTTAGTTCCTACACATGCTCCCTTCCGTCTACTTGTTCTAAAAGTCATAAAGATTCTTCAGTTGAAAGACTTTTCTTTTCTTTATATTTATTAAATGTTAATAATAAGCGGGTTCCAATTTGGGCTGTTTATATTTATTAATAATAAAATGTATAATTCGTTAGTAACGAAAAAAGTTTTAATTCAATAATGTATATATTAAATGTTTATATAGGAATTCATATTAATATTTTTTTTGTGTTTAGATATTAACTTTGTTATTACAGGGAGCTATAGTATACAATACGCAGTCTGTTAGTGCGATAAGGCTGTATTTCCTTAGGGCCGGTGCCAACAGTTCACACAGTACCTTTCACTTTGAGAGTTCCAACCCCTCGTCCTCGGTAAAATCCGGAGATAATAGCTTCCCCAGCTGTTATGAGATTTGCGGCATACGAAGATGCAATTTTACCAGATGAATGACCGATACATGCCAATGGTGTTACATTCCAAAGTCGAAGAAGCTCAACAAGAGCTGTTTGGACGGCTGTGCAAACAGGCTGTGAAATCTCAACATCGTTAATCTTACTGGTTACTGCGGGCTCCATCAGGATATCCTCAATAGTCCAATCGGGAGAATCATCCACTAGAAACTGCAGCGAGCGATCAAGCTTCCTTATACTGTCGATATATGATGGGAATTTCAACATGAATTCTCGACCCATCTGTGCACTCTGAGCTCCTTGTCCTGTGAAGATGAAACCAATGTTCCCACCCTTTCCCGTCTTTCCGAACGTAATCTCATGTTCATGAGATCCTCCTCTGCATCTTCTTCCCGTGCTACCGTGTATGCGCAATTAAAAAAATTCGATCTCCGACAGCCAAGACTGTACGCAAGGTCTAGTATGTTATAATCTTCTGCCACGTCACGACACCTTTCAATGTTGCTTTTCAGCGTAGAGATATCATGAGAATAAAGCAGACGCAGAAATTCTGAACGGGATACAGCTTGCGCTTGCGAAGCAGATCTCGTGCCCACCATTTCGTCTCATCCAGAGTCTTCACTGCCAGCTTCCAGATCCCTCATCTTGACCCCGTCGGATGTAAGTTGATCTTCCGGGTGGGATCGAGTCGGCGGCTTCGACGATTGCATGGGCATTACAGCAACCATGCACTCCTACTTGGTCGATTTCAAAAATATATCAAAAAAAGCTATTTTATTATTTTTTAATAAATAAATTATAATTCATTCGAATAATTTTATTACATTAAAATTAAAAAAATCAATAATTTGTAAATCAATAAAATTGAATATAAAACTCAATTTTATTTAAAATTATTACAAAATATAATATATATCTTTGAAATCTTAATATTAAAAAATTCTTGAAAATTCACTTATTTTTAATATAAATTTCAATAATCTAAAATCTTGAAACTTTAAATCAAGATTTTACTATAAATAAATTCTTTAAAAATAATTTAAATAATTTTTATTAAATAATATATAAAAATAATATAAAAACACAAATATCTTTATAATAAATATATTATTTTTATTAAAACTATATATATTTAAATGATAAGTTTTAGTACAAAATAGCTATCAACCAAGTAGAAGTGCTCTAGTACTGTAGCTCCTTTATAACCAAATTAATTTATAATTGCGCGACGAGTAGAAAAGCCTTTTGGCCAAGGTGTCATTTTTTGAACGACCTCTATCCTCTCACCCTTGAATTCGACTATTGAACAGTCAATGCATGATCTTAGTAGCTGCACTGTACAACTTAATTTTAGGATTCAATTTATGCCAATTGTTGCTGGTATTGTGCATTTTTCCATAGCTAAGCATACTTTTTTTAGACTTGCCAAAGCACTAGCTGCTCCGCTGTGTCCAACGTTGGTTTTTCACCTAGAAGATTAAGTATTATAAATGATACACGCAGGCAATGTAACATACCGGTCCAACAAGAAGTTTCTGTCTGTCTATTCCGTCAACGAAAACATCTCCAACTCCTTTAATCTCTATTGGATGATCTCCAACTTGGGTACCAGTGCCATGAGTCTCAAAACATGAGGTATCTCTTGGATTCAGACCAGCGAATTCATAGACTGTACGCATTACAGTCTCATGTTCTTTCGCACTTGGCTGGGTAATACCTCTGGTTTTTCCATTCGCATTCGTAGCTGTGCCTCTGATTACACGACGTACAGTTCAAAGGGTCTGCGGTCTTTGACGTTCAATCATCATCAATTTTCTACCCATTTTCTTGAAAAATGTCTAGCAGCACTCCTCCCAATCAGGCAACGCCTTCCGCGACTGAAACTTTAATCACTGAGTTGACGCCGCTAGATCACCTCATGCCTCGAACATATGTGATCAGTATGAATTGCAGATGGCCAGTCTCTCGCCGCAGTAACATTGAAGATATCCATAAACACTTGAAGCTAGGTTTGAAGCAGACTATGAAGAAAATCCCTTTTCTTGGCGGGTCTGTCGTCCCCACGGGTTCTCCTGGAAAGTCTGGTATCGAAACTTTACCTGGAGATTTCGAAGGAAATAAATTGATTTTTAACGACCTCCGTACTGGAAGTGGAAATTCATGACCACATTCCTACAAAAGTTTAAGGGAAGCAAGGTTTCCGAGTACTATCTTCACAGACGACAGCCCCAGCCTGGTACATGACTCAGGAAAGGCTGCCGGTTATAGCTGCTCAGGCAAACTTCATTGATGGAGGATTGATTCTTCATCTGAGTGTCCTCCATACAGCATGTGATATAATTGCCTGGAATAATATCCTTTCCGTTCTATCAAAGAACGTGAAAGCTTCTTGGCCCACCGAAGCCGAAGTGGCCTCAATGACGACTTGCAGGACTACAAGGCCCTACCTAGCTTTCTTGATAGATCTCCACTCATGAAAGGAAATCTTAACGTTGAGCAAATGGACATTCGAGAATACAAGCTACAACTTGCCAATTCGAAGCTCGAAGATCCCAGAAATTGTCTTATCAACCCTCCCCCAAAGTCATTCACTGAAATGGAAATTACCCTCTTCTGCATTTCCAACTCAAAATTGGGGGAGCTTAGAGACTCTATTTCAATAGAAGGTTTAGCAGCATCCTGGTTAACAGTGAATGATGCACTGGCTGCATTAATGTGATGCTGCATCGACCGTGCTAGAATATCGAACAGGAGTCAAAGACCTTTACGGGGAAATCTATCTGTTGCATATGATGGTCGTACGGTTCTTGATCCACAACTACCCAAGAGATTCATGGGAAATTCCTCTTTGGAGTCCCCCATCACCCTTGATATTCATCCAAAGTGCATCTCTGAAGCAGCACTTGCTATCTCCGAGTCACGAAACGAATTCAATGATAAGCATATAAGAGACATTATCGGGCTTTTAGATGGCTTGGGCGATATTACAGAGTAACGTGTATCATATGCCAAGAATCTAAATCCTATTTTGGTCATTAGTAGTTTGAAAGATATAGTATTTTATGAGCAAGACTGGTGTGGAAGTTTGGGATTTCAGGATGCTTTGAGGATGGCCAATCCTTTCTTGGACTGGATTCCTAGAGTAGTGCCGATGCCGGTACCGCGGATTGGTAATGTAGATTTGATTTTTGGATTGGGAATTCGGCGGCCAAGAAGAGATTGAGGGAGGATGAAACTTGGAACACATGGATTATGCCTGTATTCGAGTAAGTGAAGGTAGCCCAAAATCGTCAACGGATCTTTTGAGGGCTTTTGAACTTCGAGAGGATGAGACATGCTGTGATTTTCCGGTGTGTTCGAGTTTACGTTTAGAATTACAAAACTGTGTTTTTCTGCAAATACTGCAGATATTCCATTATCTAGGGGTTACGATGTACAAGTGTTGGCTTACAAGCTGGTTCACCGACCTTTTTGGTCGTAAGTGTAACGAGAATCCGCTGGCCACGGAAAATCGAATAGGATAACATTTAGCATATCTTTGTACAATCTCAAAACATATCTGTATGTCACTGATAAGTCTTATTCTATCGCAATTCCCCGATTTCACGTATTTATAGTTGAATAGATATGCGTCTTTCTTAAGTCCTTTGTTCTTAATCTATCAAAAAAGATACTGTCCCACTCTAGAAGTCAGTACAACACATTGTACAAGAGCATACCAAATGAATGTAATCCGGATAGCTTGTGACTGCCAGACATTTTACAGAAAGAGAAATTCCAATTAAGTAGTGGCACGACGATAATATTGAGTGAAACTGAGGGATGAATAGCACGATTGACTGAAAGCTCGGAGTGAAAACCCTCAAGTATATGCAAACCGAGACAGAAGAGGATACGTGGGAGTATAGCGGCGGTGGCCGATGGGCTCACTGAGAATACCGGCCATAAGATAAAGCTGAGGTGCACTCGACCTCGAAATCATTTCGAAAATGTCACAACTCAATATCTCAAATTTACATACATCTCACTCTACAGCTTCTGTATTGGACCGAGTGTACGATGCCAAGCCACAGATCTGAATCGAAAGTAACGGGCAAAGTCCCACCACCTCCATCATTCATCGAGGGTGTGCAAGACAAATCATGGACTTCTACCCCAGAGAACTGGCTCTATGGTACATGACCCATACTTCTCAACAGTATTATTGGGAGCGCACGAAGAGCTTTTTCATTCAATATGCACCCGTCATGAATGGAGTCTGGCCCTGTACAAACCAAGAGCTGGCATCTCTTACTCCTTTCAGCCAGCCAGAACGTATCTACACCGCCTTTGGAATCGAGTCCCCCATTGCTGGCCTCGATGATGTTTGGCTTTGCCAATCCACAGGACATCTGAGCCATACGGTATATTAGACCACGTTGCATTTCTGGCCTAGGGTGCCGACTCGCAAATTGTGGACTGGGTCGTGCTGTATTCAACTCCACTGCCAGGAGCTACAGTGGGTCTTCCTGCACAAGTTGCGATTGTGAGTCGTGTACGTTTCGGTCCGGACCATACCATGGTGGAAGTAATCAAAGGAGCTCTTTGCGCCGCGGGGAATTTGGATTTGACTTCGTAAGCTGGTGGATTATTTGCGGCCTTTATTGCAAGAAGATCTCGAAAGTGGGCAGCCGACCGGTAAATACCACGTGGTACAGAATGTAGATTCTTTGGCTAGATTTTGATATATCTAGAACACATATTACGAAAAACTGCAAAATGAAATTGCCAACATGGTCCATTAGCCATTCACAGAACGTCAGAATGATATTTCGTGGATGTGGTGATGAAGCAGATCTGCGCAACTCCGTGCTCTGCCTCTTCGTCTTGTCCCACTTATCAGGCAATGCACTCAAAATAAAGTTTAGGGCCTACTCCGGGAAACCAAAAGCCACCTTTGCGACTAACAAACACCTGCAGCATTGATTATCAAAGACAAGGGGAAATGAAATCTGCAATGTGCAACAATGAAGTAGGGTTTTTTGACCTGGAAATATAAAATGGAAAATAATCTACGTGAAAACGGGGGGAATGTTTGCTTGTTTGAGATCAGTTTGGAGAGGACCCTTCCCACATGCATGTATTTTTTGAAGTGAAAAGTCCAAAAACGGAAACAATTCATCTCCCTATCCTCTGGTGTGAAGTGTAATTAAGATGAATCCTCACGGTGTCAAAGTGTGTCACAAGTTATATAGCTAGATTTCTGAAGACTCCCGAGGTCGTTAAGGTTGTCAACTACCGGTATCTACCGGTATCTACCGGAGCGATTGAAATGGCGACACGCTAATTGAGCTTAAACCTTACGGGGAATCACGGAAAACCTAAACACCGATCAAGATACTTACCACAGATAACCACCCTTGAAGGTTATTCTTTAAATAACGGTCAGCTTAAAAATGCTTGGCTGTCTGTATCTAATTTAATTCGATATGTAGTATCTGTCAGGATCTGGGATACGCACGAAATACGAGATCTGCGCCTGTTTGACGATCAGATTTCAAGACATCTCAAGACATCTGAGCTGATTTTTTTGAATCATAGCGATTGTTTTATAGATCTGATTTCGAATTGTTGTTCAGATTACGATCTCAGGAGATATGATTGGCAAACGGGCTCTTAGTTTCAGATCTGTTTGTTGTTCCTTGAATAGAATATGTGACTGTGACTGTGCCTATGACTGCCTAGGTGAGGGGTGTTACGAAGGTATATGAATTGAGTTATGTTATACCGCGTTCGTTAGCCAGGATCAGTTGGTTCGGGCAGAACGACTCTCTTAGTGGCAAAAGAAAAGCAGTGTACTCGTGCGGCCAGAAAGTATGCATTTCCGGCGCTATGAAAACCAGGTTAGTCCTCTTGTAGTTTACCATCTTGTGGTATGTGCATCTAGCGTCGGAGTTGCATACTTTCTGGCAGCACGAGTAGTAAACTTATTATATATACCTCACGAGGTCCGTGGAAGAAAAATGTATTTTATTTAATGGACATGGTTACCATTGGACCAGCCATACCCCTAAAGGCCCTGGCACTAAGCTAATTCTGTATCATATATGCCTCTTTAGACTAGCACCTTTCTCTATTATCGAAACTAATCAATGAGTACCTGCGAACTTAAAGCGAATCTAAACCTTTTGAAAACCCTTCCTAAAACTACCTAATAAACTATCTAATAAACCATCTAATCTATTAAATTATATACAGATTTTGATTAATCAAACCTACCCTCCTAATATCTAGCTTTTAACTTTTGATAATCCTTGTTATTAACAATCAACTTAGATTCGATTTGTTTATATATAATAAACAGGCTACAAAGCTGATTAACACATCTGATATAATCAAGGTCTTTCGAATAATTTGATTGATTGATTTTAATAATTCCTAAGACTTACAAAACTTGATTAAGAGTTGCGAACATTCCAATTGAACTTGCTTAACAAATCCCGAGACTGAAAACTGAATCTTATTTGTCGAACCGAACTGAATTGTGGATCTTAACTACATCGAAAAGCAAAACGAAACCCAAAAGACGTAAACACACCGAATTGATTTGTTGAATTTTTGAAAAATCGAAGAGTGCCGAAGCCGAAAACAGGAATTCCTCCCTGCGTAGTTCACCAGAAAAATGGATTTTATTTAATGGACATAATTACCATTAAATCAGCCATACCCCTAAAGGCCCTGGCACTAAGCTAATTCTGTATGATATATGCCTCTTTAGGCTAGCACCTTCCTCTGTGGAGGCTTTCTTTTTAGGCTATGTAGGTGATCAAGACAGGCGAAAACCTTATTGTTTGTAATAAGTGAGTAAGTGACATACGCATTATTGATGCTAGTCGCGAATAGTCGATAGCACCATTGAAAACCCTTGACTTTACTTTTAGGGTTTTGGTCGGCCGTCCGTTATTGTTGTATGTAGATAGCAGACGCTTTGTTTCAAAGACCGAACTGGCGAATTATCCATGTGCGTGTCACCATGCCGGTATGAGCTCGGTAACCCTAAATTCTGGGCAAATACGATTATGCTTGACAGGTATGATTGAAACCACAGATTTTCAAGGGGTTCATTCTGCAAGCGAAGTACCATAATATGCCCGGGACTTCTGTTCAATAACACGAATCAGTGCCTATATTGGCTAGGTAAAGCGTGAATAGGGTATCCCCCGTCTTGATTAACCCTATCAAAACAAACCTAAACTATACATATCAGTGATCAGCATTATGGAGGCAATGGGATCTACGGTTCAGTTGGTAGGAAGGCTCTTCCATATCATTTTGCAGACCCTCCACCAGGTTGTGAATGGTTGCAATAGATGCGACTGTTAATCAAATTGACCATGACGTCCCGCAGGCGTGGAGATTCAGCATGCAAGTGCGTTATGCGGGTGAGCCACTTGAGACACATGCAAAGAAAAGTCGGAAAAGATAACGAGATAACGAAAGTCATGATACGGATATCAACTTGATTACATTCTCCGAAGACAGGTTGTCAAGAAAGCATTCAAGCATATCTAAAACACTCAAATCACTTCTCATGTCACCGTAGGTCACTTTCTTTCTGTCCTTCTCCAACTTTGTGCTGAAAGCCATGTTAATTATGGGTTCAAACAATAGACCACAGAAACCTCCAAAGCTACGACATGCTTGTAATGAATGTCATGCAGCTAAGGTAAGAAATTATCAATACCCCCCCAGAACCGTTTAAAGTATTCATTTGAAGTAGGTTAGATGCAGCGGAGAACGTACAGGATGCCGACGGTGTGTATACAACCAACAAAAATGCACCTATAGTATCTCCATGGTGGGAAAGGTACAAGGCCATCGTAGGCGGGCATCAGTCCTTAAAAATACAGCAGTGACAGGAACAGCTCCCAGGCATGTTAATCCAAACGATTATTACCCATTCAAGAGCGAAAATAAATCGCTAACAAGTTCTGCATTAGATCCTGTAACCAGCCATCAACCATCCACACTTCAACAGAGATGATATCCGTGGCAAGCGCGGACGTCATACATGATGAGGCCAACGGCAATAATCTGAACAGCAAGCAAAACGATGTACCTGTGGAGAGTAGTGAGGGCATAACTTCTTCACCCGCGAATTGCAGCATTCTTCCGGGGGAAAACAACGACAAAGTCACCTCAAGCTCGGCACTAGAGAATTTCTCGACGAGTTTGGAAAGCATAGATACATCATCCCTGGAGACTCTAATGATTGAACACGAATTCTCATGGGATTTCAGTTCTGACGAAAGAGCTGATGCCCTCAATTCGTTTGCGCTCGAGAACCCCTCGTATGTAGATAGCATGAGGAATGGGGAATATGGAGACTTCGAATTTGACTTTTCAATTCATGAACTTCCTACGACTACCAGCTCGCAAACTGCTGGTCCAATACCGATTTCACCAATTCCTACATTCCATCCTCGGAAAAGGACTCATTCAGACTCGTCAGAAAAACAAGCTCAACACGCCCAAAATGATTTGCGATGGAGATCTCAATCTCAATCATATACGCATCCAACAATTTCAACACACCATCATAATCATGGCTTCTCCCGTGAGATGTATGAGTATCCGGAGAGTAGTGCTTCCTTCGATGCAGATTGTGGTTTTGATCGAGGTTTCACGTCCCACTCAACGAATGCAAATCACCAAAGCATGAATCGAATGCCACAGACTACACACAACAACAAAATCTCATTTACAGCTCAATCTCATTACATGGCCTCTCCTATACTTTCTCCGGTCACACAATATGAAGATTCTTGGCGCCTCACATCAAAATGCTTCGTTATAATCAGCAAACTCCAAAAATTACTTCGAGATCCATCTTCTCTATCTCTCGATGTAATCCTTGCTACCAACAAAAGTGCAGTATCTGAGCTGGCTCAAATGTTTGACAGCACACTGCCTTCAAACACAGCAAGAAGCACAAGCCCGGAAGACTTTTTCTCTATTCATTCTGGGATCCAATCCAGTAGTAGTAGCTATAATTCGTCACAACTGATAGAGTTCACCCCTTTAATGATTTCTGTGATCGCGTTAAAACATATCCACGATCTCTACTCGCAAGCTTGCTTCATATTTACTCTAGACGACCCTCGAAGACGCTCGCCCTCCGCTCCATCACCTCGAAACACTCCCTCCATCTCCAGTTCCCCATCCGCAATTTTTTTCGGACTTCCACAACTCGATTTTGGCACATTCAAAATCGACATTGCTAATCAAAGAAGACTATTCTCAGAGATTATAGCAAGGGAGCTTGGAAATTGCCTGAGTGCTTGTACGAGACTAAGGAGTTGTTTCTTGATGCAGCCCGGTGATATAAGTGCTCCGACAGGGTTGATGGAAGAGACGTTTTTGGGTATCGAAGAGGGATTGCAGACGATGATAAAGCAGGTCAAAATATGATCTATGAGAAATGGCCAGGGAAGTCAAGGTATTGACATGATTTTAATGTGGCGTTTTTCGTTTCCTTTTTTGCATTTTAATTCTCGGTCTAGGCGCGGGATGATTAGAATCAAGTTCACACACTTCCTTTTGTTGTATTTGTAGAAAGTCTACATATTACTTTATGATATACTATTAAAAATTGGGCTATAGAATGAGTTTACTGGGTTTCGTGAATTAGTCTAATCAGTCATCTCTGTTTTCGCATATCAATTGAAACATCTATGATGTTTCATGATTACAAAATACCCCCTTGACTATAGCTAAATGATCTGCCTTTTATATTTCCCTGGATGTTATTGATTTTGGCTCTTGATTAGTTTTATCAGCCTCGTTACATATACGATCAGGGTTGACGAGTGATCTTTGAGCTTCAACGGATCATATTATCAGCAACTCCAGGTAGTAATTTCACATCAACAACGTACTAGTTGAAACATAGTCCAAACCCTCAATCATAGTATGTCCCGACTATAGAGAAGAGAACGAGTACTCACCACATGAGGTATAGTATTTTTATGATACTATTTCCAACATTCTTACTCTAAGTTTACTATTATAAGCTTTATTTTAAGGACAACTCCTCGAGATGTAAATAGAAAAGACAATGAGGCACACTTCTGATTAGCTTATTTTATCTACTTTTTTCGTATAAAGACAGAGTGCTGAACTATATAATACTCCATCTGACTCTTATAAGAACAAGGCCTTTCTATACAAAAATATTTCGTAAGTTATATAAAACTTCCACGTAAACAAGCTGAGTGGAATAGATTCTTTATGTCTTATATTCATACTCATATCGCGATACTTTGATATACATTTGATTAGTATAATAGAAAGCTTCTTTTACGATTTATAGTATTCTCAAATCAGTAAGAAACAAGATAGTGAAAATAGTTACTTTACTACTGAGTCTTGTACTTGAATTTATAATAGAATGAGTAGTTACTTGTAAAATATGAGAACTTATACGAAATATACATATCGAGAAGCCCTTTATATTTATTTGATTCATTAGAATCTTCAAAGATATAACAGAGTAAAGTTATATTATTTATACAAAACTTTCTATAATCATGCAACTTTGATAATGTCGAGCATGAAACTTCTTCTGATTACTGAGTAGTCATGAGAAATACGCAACGCTAGGAGCTTAGTTACTTGGGTCAATCGAGGGGCAAAATCTCATTCCACAGTATCATTTCAGAATACTTATAGAAGTATCAAAAGCAGTTCACACAAACTGTAGTTAAACTCCATTATAATTTCAAAAGTCTACGTATACATCGACTATTCATAACCGAGCTTTAGTTATCTATTTTATGTGATTTCAATCTCAATCAGGTTGTTTTAGTATTATGATCTACGTTCTTTCGCTAACCTCTAGAAAACTCTAACGGTTATTTATAGTACTTTGCTTGTTCTAGGCGCATATATCCAGGATATAGACCCTTTATTTTGACATAGGGTCTCAAAAATTTATCTTCTACTCCGTAGAGTGAGTACCTAGGTTTTCATAGGTATGTAAAAGATTTTTTGGAGAGAGTAGAATGGCTTTGTTGTACCAGCAAGGCACGTGCAGTAAGGTTATCGTCGCATAGTATCGGGCAAAAGTCGGCGTCTAACGCTTTAAGGCAAGGGCTACCCCTGAGCCATGTCATGTGCATGACGAACTTGAAAAAATTCTTCACTTCGTTTCTGCTTTGACGAGTTTGGATACTCATCCGCAACTTACCCAATGCTCAACTTTTGCCGTTCTACACTTCGCTGATACTTTATCGCCATCAAATACAACGACCTGACACATGTTCATCTATTGGCTTTAGCAATCTCGAGGACCAGATGCAATCCGCCATCTCCATCTGATTTATCGTAAATTCGCTAGAGTCGTCAGTACATACACACAATGCTGGCAGAGTCAATTTCGATGACATAAAAAGATCCACCCAGTGACCGTAATAGTGGTTTTCGAAATGCAAATCCATCCCTATCTACAACCTTGATTTTTCAATCACCGTTAAATACCTTTGATTCTATTTGTTGCTTCGTATACAGTCTTGATTCATCAAGATAACTTTTGAATGAATGATCTATTGTGATTTCATTGCTCGAGTATATTCAAGGGTTCTCATCACACCCGAGGTGTTAAGCAACCCTTGAAAATGTTGAGATAGTGACAGGAGTCATTGAACGCGATCCACTCCCACACACATCCCACAATTCCCTCCATGGTGCCACCCGAGTCCCGAGCAGACAACAACGGGGATATCGCCCGGAGAGATGCTCAAAACACTTCATAAACTGCGGAGGGCAACTGAAGATCTCTCGTAATAGTTTTGCGAAGGTCCGTCGTGCTTTCCTCATCCACGCATTTCTCAATTCTGCTGTATAAAAAGCAAATGTAATTCTTTTCTCCCGTATCTTTCTCGGGCATACTGGGTTAGTGACCATGCACTCCTCCCATACCTGTTTATAATTCTGCATTACCCCCTCCCTCGACTCGACATATTTTCACTTTTTTTTCTGGCCCACTTCTTGTACATACAATACTCTATAATTCATCCTTACCGTGCTTTCTTTCGCCCAGCACCAAAGGGACCCTTCACCTCCCATACTCAATCCCCATCTCTCATAAAAATCGAAAACCATGAGTACAATCCAAGATGAGCAAAACAAGATCGAATCAGGTGATGCGAGCAAACAGTACACGCCGGACTCAGGTTCGCACCACACGCAAGACAAAGAAGGAATCATGGGAGAGACTGCCGCGCTAGAGGCGCACGGGCGCGCGAATTTCAGTCGACTCGGCTGGAAGCGGCTTACTGTTATTCTACTTGTGGAAGCTATTGCGCTCGGTGCTCTATCTATTCCTGGAGCCTTTGCTACGCTGGGTATGGTAGCTGGGGTGATTCTCACCGTCGGGATTGGATTGATTGCGATCTACACCAGTCATATCATAGGGCAGGTCAAACTGGCATTTCCACATGTGGCGCATTATGCGGATGCGGGGAGGTTGCTGATGGGACGGTTTGGGTACGAGCTGGTCGGGGCGATGTTTGCGTTGGAGCTGACGTTTTTGGTGGGATCGCATTGTCTGACGGGAACAATTGCGTTTCTCAACTTGTCGAACAATGGCGCGTGTTCAGTGGTGTTTGGGATTGTGTCGGCTATGATCTTGTTGGTGTTGGCAATTCCCCCTTCGTTTGCAGACGTAGCCATTCTGGGTTATATCGATTTCGTGTCAATTATGCTCGCGATCGGCATTACTATTGTGTCTACCGCTGTAGTATCTGGTTCCTCGGCCGGGGGATTGACGCAAGTGGATTGGTCTGCGTGGCCTAAGGAGGATCTCTCTTTCTCGGATGCGTTTATCGCCATCACCAACATTGTCTTCGCATATTCATTTGCCGTGTGTCAATTTTCCTTCATGGACGAGATGCACACACCACGCGATTACATCAAATCGATCTGGGCGCTCGGCTTAATCGAAATCGTCATCTACACACTCACAGGAGCATTGATCTATGCCTTTGTTGGGCAGGATGTACAATCCCCTGCACTTCTCTCAGCCGGCAATCTCATGGCCAAAGTAGCATTCGGCGTCGCACTGCCCGTCATTTTTATCTCGGGCTCTATCAACGGCACTGTGGTCGCGCGCTACATTCACGGACGCGTATACAAGGACTCGGTGGTACGCTTCATCAACACGAAGAAAGGCTGGCTGACATGGTTGGGGCTAATAAGCTTCCTCACGATTATTGCATGGGTCATTGCTGAAGCGATTCCCTTCTTCTCGGATCTGCTGTCCATTATGTCGGCGCTGTTTGTCTCTGGATTCACGTTCTACTTCCCGGCTATGATGTGGTTTATGTTGATTAAGAAAGGAAAGTGGTATGCGCGCGAAAACTTGTTCCTGAGTGTGGTGAATGGGGCAGTATTCGTCATTGGCATTGTGGTTTTAGTTGGTGGGACGTATGCAGCAGTGGAAGACATCGTAAGTTCTTTTCTTTTAATCCTCGTTAGAGGGAGGCCGAGGCCGAAGTCGATCTCTTGGCTGCGTTGGCTCTCTTGAGAAGATGTATGGTTTGCTAATACAATGTTTGCAACAGAAAACCCAATACGCCGAAGGAACAGTCCGAGGAGCGTTTACATGCGCACCAATATCGTAGGGGTTGAAGTAGGGTTGAACAAGTTTTCCTCAAACAATATGGGATGGAAATGCATCCATGTCTCTCTTCTCTCCTGAGATGAATAAAGAATTATAAGGATAGAAATAACACGACCTTAATGAAATTAATGAAGATTCACGTCAAATTCCTCAGTTCTGTGAGCTTCAACGTATTGTGCATTGTATCTTTCGAACCCTGAGAGAGATTCTTCTACCACTGTCAGTGCGACTTTGTTTCGGCATTTGTGGAGCAAAATGCTCGGTGGGTGAGATGTTGGTGTTGGGTGACAATATTGAGATTAAGAATTGGATCGGTAGATGAATAAATGGTTCGTTGAATGTTGAGGAGGCTGAATCGTACTAGGCTGTGTAACGAGTATAGGCGGAGCGGACAATGGCCCTGACGAGTAATCCACAGATGATACGTTGGCGGAGCGGATATTTGAGAAATTTAAACGAATTATTGGTGGAGCGGGCGGAGCCTCTAACATGTAATTCACGGAATGGACCATTTACAAAGATTCGACGGTTGAGACAACTTTTGCGCAGCGTGAAGAATCTCTACAGATTACTTTCTATCGGGATATCGATCATGTGATCAAAGAGGGCATTGTATTAGCTAATGTAAGAGTTCTGGCCCCTGCTCAACGCACATGTAACGCTTTTTTGGCTAAAATATATGATTATTCAGCTTTTTATATTCTGGTTTATTTATAAATATATGAAATAAAATTGAATATAGTATTATGAAAAGATTTAGAATTATTTAAATTATATTAAAAAATTTATTATTTATTTTTAAATATTTTTCTAATAGTGTTTTAAAAAAGTTAAAATTAAAAATTCAAAAAAGTTCGAAAAATTTGCTTATTTTGTATAGGAAAAGTATCACATGTTAAAATTTTTAGAAAAATTTGATTTCAATATTATATAATTATTTAACAAAAAAAGTAAAAAATATTTCAAATAATTTTTTATATTTCAATTCTGATTATTTATCGATTCCAATTTTTTGAAAAAGAAAATATAAAGATTTGAATAAAATAATCAATATAATAATTTGTATGGAAAAACCTCATTTTCGCAGGGATTTTGTTACATTTGTTATAGGAATGCGGTGAGCAGGGGCTAGAACTCTTAGTATTAGCATTTCATTATATTAAATACTAGCTTTTTATAAATAATAATAATCAAGAACAAATATAATTAAATTAGATTAAAGTATTTATACTTATCAATTAAGTTAATATTAATTGATAATATTACAAATTAGAGCTTTAGAATTTATTAAAAATATTAAAAAATTTGAAGCAATTTTTAGAATTAATAAAAATTCTAAGTAAAGTACAAAGAAGATATTATTGTATCTAGTATGATATATTATCTCATTTCATTGTTTTTAATAATTATATTAGGAAGATATATTTAAAAAGATTAATTTTTTTAAGTATAGTAAATCGAACTTATATTTATTATATATTTATTTTTTATATTATATATTGTATTAGATACTTTATAATCTTTATTAAAATATACTCATAAATATTCTTTAAATATCTATATTTATAATGACTTCTGAAATAATTATATATACAAGTTTATTTTATTTATTTATTTATTTATTTATTTATTTATAGTAATTAACGTCTACTGTTTGATCTCCCGAAGGGTATTCTAGATGTACTAAGGAGCGGGTCTATGGATTACTGATATTCCCACTGCTTATAATAGTGTGATATTAGCTAATTAGAAACTAATAATCTTTGATATTTCTCCGTTTAGTATCGCTTATAGTAATCTTGTAATTATTTTATCTAAGGGTTCCTAATTCTTTATTAAAGAATCTTATTTTGTATATTTTTCAGGTAGTAATAAATAATTAGGTTAATTATTTATTAATTGAAAATATACATGGTGCGTATATAACTAATCAAAGCAGATTTTAGATTGTTTGGGGTAGAAAGCTTATCCTTAAGGTGTTAGAATAAATTGTTATATATACAATTTTATATAATTTGAATATATTCTAATATAGAATCTGAATCTAGTTGTCACAGGGCAGGCAGGCGGGATTAGGAATCTATATTCAATAGTGCTAAGAACAATAGATATAAAATATAAATTAAGATATAGTTCAAAAAGTTATAATATAGAATCTTCTAATATAAAGATATATAGAGTTTTCATTTGTAAATTAATTTAATAGAATTTGGTTTATTATTTATTAATTATATATATTTATATTATAATATTACTTTTCTTTTTTAGGCTGAGTTTTTATAAAGTAATAAATTATAGTTTATAATTTTATAAACAGGCAATTTAGATTAAATAGATTTAGGTTTATTAGAGTATTTATAATTAAAGTTGTAAATTAGTTTTTGTATATCTTTCAAATAGCTAACAAGTTTTTCAATTGGATTATTATAATTAATCTAATAAATAATATATTTTAAATAAAATTTTTTACAATCTTTTTTTTCTTAATAGAAATTTAAAATCTCAGCAACTTCAAAATACTCTAAGCCATCGATTTCTAGAAATAATAATAACAAGTTATATTACCTAGAAATAAGATTATTATATACAGAATACAATAAATTAATATAAAAAACAAAATAAATCCTTATAAAAACAAGAAATTCTAATTTAAAGATATAGAAGCCTATCGGATTTAGAATTTTGAATAATTCAAGATTCTTTTAATCAAATTTCTTTTATAGATATAGAGTTTTGATATTTTTAGTATTCAATCAAATTAAATTATTAAAGATATATTAATAAATAAAGAAATAACAGAAATCAGTATTTTTCGAATATTAGATTTAACTAATAATCAATTTTGTTTTTAGGTATAAGAAAATCGCTTTTATTTTAAAAATGAATTTTCAATATTTTTTATAATAAAACAATTATTTTTGAATAAAATTAATTCAAAATCTAAATAAAAATGAAATCCGTAATTAAAGAAAAACAAAATTTTTCAAATACTTTTAAACTACATATTATTAATAAAAAAATTAGTAAATGAAAGCTACTCTATCTAATTATTTTATAAATAAATTATATATAATCTGAAATATTATTCTAATATTATATTAACTATTTTAATGTCAAGATACGGGTAAAGACTTATATTATACCATAAGAATAAAAAAGCTATAGAAGGATAAGACTCTCTTATAGAAAATAGAATATGCTAATAGTATACCTAAAGTATAAAGGCAATATAATTAATACCGTAATAATACCTCCCTTTTAAGACTTACTTATCCTAAATAAATTAAAATACAATCCAATTAACTTTATCAATTTTCAATAAAATTATAATAAGGAATTAATTCATAAGACTAGCTTATTATTATATTTAAATTAAATAAATAACAAATTTAATCAAATAAAAATCTAAAATCTCCTGGGATAATATTAAAAAACTCTGATTTCTATTATAAAATTAAAATAAATTTTTTTAAGGCCTATAATCAACTGGTTATTCTTTCTTGGCTTATTCTATTTTTATTTTGAAATTATATTTAATATAGAATTATTTGAGGTAATAGATCTTTTGAATTCTATTTATATAAACAAATCTAGTTTATTTGGATTTATTAAATAAAATATAACAATTTTTTTTTCTAATTTTTGAAATTTTTAGTTAATTATTATGATAATAAATAATATTTTTATTTAATTTAATAATAAAATCTGTTTTTATTATAACAATCAAATAATTTATTTAATTTCTAATATTCGATTTCTTTATTCATATTGTTATTCCTTTTCAAAACTTGATTTTGGTTATAATAGAATTCTATTTTATTAATTATAGTTTGATTGATTAATTTAATTAAGCTATAAAACAATCTGAATGATAAATTATAGAATACTAGAAAGATTTTAAAAATAGTGAATAATTGAAATAAACAGGTATATTTATAAACTTTTAGAATCTTATAGAGCTCAATCTATTTATTATTATTTTTCTTTATAGATTAATTAATTTTTATATTTTTAATATTAATTTATATTATATCTCTTTTTGTATATAGGGGGGTATTAGTGTGTATTTCATTTGTATAATCTTTATATTTCTAAATAATTTAAACAACTAAAACTTTTAGTTTTATTAAAATGATATCAAATCAATCTATAATCTCATTAGTTTTTAGAAATTTGTATTTCTATTAATATAAAAGGTTTAATGAAATAGGTAAAAAGAATTTAATTCTGAATTACAAATAGAAATTATAGTTAGCGAAGAATGGGGATATATTAATAATTTCTGAAATAATATTATTAAATGTAAACTTTATTAATAGTAATTAGTTATATTAATTATTTTAATAAAAGTTTATAAAAGCTTATAAATATTATTTTATTATAATATTAAATTTCTTTATTTAACTATTCGATTTGGGATAAAACAAAAAAGATTATTTTAAAATAATTGATAAATATTTAAAGAAATATATCCACAATATTAATATAAACTATAAGTTTTTATTAAATATAATATTATTGGGTATATTATGTAAGCAATAAACTTTTTTAATAAAATGGTTAATGAATTTCTCTATAAATAGCCTGATTATTGGTATAAAATAATATATTTTTATTAGGTGACAAATAATAGTGATTATATAACTATATTTATGATTATAATATTTATAGATAGATAATGATATAATATAATTAATGAAAATATTAAACTAAAATTGAAATAGAATTAATAAAGGTTTAAGGAATTTAGAGATTATAAAACAAAAAGATTTTGTATAAAAATACAGTTAATAGATTTGTATATAAATTTTAATTTCTTTTATTATATTAAATTATTAGTATATATAGAAAACAAAATCAACAATCTTAATATGGCCTAGATGCTTGATAGGTTTGGTTAAATATATTCAATAAATAATTTATATATAGAATTTGGCAGATGAAGAAATGAATAGTTAATCTTAGTAAAATATTTATTTATTAATTAATCTACAATTTTGAAAAACTATCTAAAGATCTTTTTTGATTACTAATAGCTAATAACGAGTAATAGGATTTTGAAGTGTTTTGTATGTATTAATAACTAATACAAATGAATTGTATATTTTATTAATAAAATTATTAATTGGTTTTTTGATATTAGAAATAATAATATTTATAAGGGCTATAATAAGATTTATAATATTATTTATTTATCTAATAAGATCTTTATATATAATTATATTGAATACTCATTTTGAAAGTATTATTTATAAATAATTTTTAATTTAATTATCATTAAAATCGATATATACAAAACAATCTTCTACCTTTCGACTAAAAACATCAAGGTAAACTGTCTTATAATCCGGTTAATATATAATATAAAATTAAATTCTAAAAGGAACTCTATTTATCTTGCTTACCTTTAATTCAGTATCTTTATTGATATAAAATACTTCAAGTTCTTATAATCAGTAATAATCTCAAATAGTTTCTGAATCCCATATAATTTAGATTTCTATTTCTCTAAAAATTTAATAATTATTAACAACTTCTTATTATAAATCTCATAATTACATTTAACTACACTACATTTTAACAAAAAATAAATAATTAATTATAATCAGCCCTCATTATTATACTGAAAGATAATTTCTTCTACAGCCTAAT